AGAGCCGTGCACCCAAGCTGTCTTCTCCCATTCCTCCGCTTTGATGTGGAATCAAGGAAAAACTGTTGCCATTAGTATCTTTACATGTGTGCCAGACTATATCGATCACCAAGTCGCGAGGAGTGTGTGAGTGTGTGTGTGTGTGTGTGTGTGTACACAACAGCTGCATTTGATTCTAATTAGAGTTTTTTCCCAGCCGTTGCCAGAGCTCAAAGCAGCCCAGAGTCGGGCCTCTCTTGATTAACGCAGCAAACTGCTGCCCAGACTTTTATTGTTCTGGAGCGCAGGCCTTCTTTTTCTTCTTTCAGTTGAAGTTTTTGTAGCCTTCACTCCATACGGCTGATGTTGGCAGAAAAAAAAAGCTGCGTCCATTTCCCCCAAGGATCTTATCCAGTCCTAATTCCTTTTTTCTCTTCTACTCCACAGAGATTTGAGTAATAACGCGATCATGTCCATTCAAGCGAACGCCTTCTCGCAGATGAAGAACCTGCAGGAGCTGTAAGTGTGATCATGTTCAAGGACAGTTTAACTTAAGAGTTTTAGTTTTGATGTGGGACAGAACACCAGGTGAAACTCATTATGGTCTGCCGGGAAAGTGGGCACCAAACAGAACGCACTGCAGTGTTAATGTGACCGGGTTCAGTTTCCTTTGTCTTGCTTCCACTGCAGGATAGTTTACAGAAACAAGCCATGTGAGGGAATCTTTACATTCTCTCAGGGTGATTCTGACTCAGGCTACATCCACACCACTACCTTTCTGTTTGAAAAAGCATCACCTCTGCCACTGACAAATCTCTTGTTCACACTGCTCCCGAGGTTTAGAGGCACTAAACCGAGGAGTTTGAAAAGGCTGCTGGCCCTGATTTAGTTTCTTAACTCTGAGGCAGCATTTTAGTCTGGACAGGCAGAAACAGAGATCAATCAATTAATCAAATTTTATTTGTATAGCCCATATCCCCAAATCACAATTTGTCTCATAGGGCTTTGGAATGACGTGACGATCACATGCATTTGCTGATTAGGTCTTTTCAGAAAAACAATCACACAAAGCGTGACTCTGTTGTCTTTGCTAACAACGTTTGTGCAGTTAAATTCTGCATTTTATAATGAAACAACTGCTTTTATGCTTAGGATAACAGCTGTAATCAAATGATATAAGTTTTCAGGCCTTTTAGTATGGAAAATGCAGTTTTCAAACTAAAAGTAGTGCGGATGTAGCCTCAAGGGGTTTGTTTGTTTTTACATACATATATAAATAATCACGGACATATAGTATCTGAGGGGATTGTGACTCTTTGTGTGTGATGTTTCTATTTGTATTACACTATTTCTATTAAAGCATTTTCTTATATAGTCTTATTAGCTGTTCTAATTTAAGAAATTCACAAAAATCATATTAATGCCTGACAGAATTAGTCTGAACATGGTTTTGCATTGATCAAACCTTCCTGTGTTGATTCCTGCTCTGTCCACATTTAAGTTACATTTAAACTAAAAAATCACAACCAACTCTTAGGAATAATACGGCTGCAGTGTGAATTAAATGTTTCTGGTATCTCCTCCCCTGGGCAGGCGTCTGAACACCTCCAGCCTGCTGTGCGACTGCCAGCTGAAGTGGCTTCCCATCTGGGTGGCAGAGCAAACCTTCCTGCCCTGCGTCAACGCCAGCTGCGCCCACCCGCAAATGCTGAAGGGCAGGAGCGTGTTTGCCGTCAGCCAGGACGAGTTTGTGTGTGGTGAGTGATGCATTCACTCGGTGGAACTCTACTTTACACACATATACTGTAATGCCTCAAAAACAGACATTAATCCAAGTCAATTTTTTCCATTTACAAACTGACCCAGATTGTTCAGAATTTTCCTCCCTGACTCCTGGAGGAACTAATGAGCCTCATGAGGGAAACATTATGGAAATTTACGAAGTTTTCAGCTGTCCTGGTTAATGTTACATAGAACTAATTAGAAAAGAATTCACTCCAGTTTTGCCAAAGACATGTAGACCTGAACACGTTGAAAAGCCGAGCATATGGTGATTTCAAATGTTTACTCTTGTTTTTTGCAGATGATTTCCCAAAGCCTCAGATCACCGTTCAGCCGGAGACCCAATCAGCCCTCAAGGGCACCAACGTGACATTTATCTGCTCGGCGGCCAGCTCCAGCGACTCACCCATGACCTTCGCCTGGAAGAAAGACAATGAGGTCCTGAATGATGCGGAGATCCACAACCAGGCCCATCTGCGAGTGCAAGGAGGAGCAGGAGGTGAGACGGAAGTGACAGAGTATACAACCACCCTGCAGCTCCGTACCGTGGAGTTCTCCAGCGAGGGAAAATACCAGTGCATCATCTCCAACCACTTTGGATCGTCCTACTCCACCAAGGCCCGGCTCACTGTCAACAGTAAGCTTGGTTGGGAGATTCCAACTTTTTTGCCACATGTCTCAAAGGTCCTTACAGCGCCTGTCAGTCTTCTATGATTCTTAAATGATCTTTTCTGTTTCCAGTGTTGCCATCCTTCACCAAGATGCCCATGGACTTAAGTATTCGTGCCGGAGCGACAGCCAGATTGGAATGTGCCGCTGTGGGTCACCCTTCCCCTCAGATCGCCTGGCAAAAAGACGGAGGTACTGATTTTCCTGCCGCCCGTGAACGGCGCATGCACGTCATGCCGGAGGATGATGTGTTTTTCATTGTGGATGTCAAGACGGAGGATATTGGCGTTTACAGCTGCACAGCACAGAACACAGCAGGAGCCATTTCTGCAAATGCTACACTTACTGTTCTAGGTGAGAAACAAGGCTATCATACCAGATTGCACAAAGAACTGAATAAAGAATAAATAAACTTCTACACTCTCGATTCTTCATTCTTATCTATTTTTGATTGCATCTTTCCCTCTGACAGAAACACCCTCCTTCCAGCGGCCCCTCATGGATCGCACTGTGGCCAAGGGTGAAACCGCCGTCCTCCAGTGCATCGCCGGTGGCAGCCCACCCCCAAGGTTGAACTGGACCAAAGACGACAGCCCCTTGGTGGTGACAGAGCGCCACTTTTTTGCCGCCGCCAACCAGCTCCTCATCATCGTCGACGCAGCAGAGGCTGACGTGGGGAAGTACACCTGTGAGATGTCAAATGCGCTGGGCACAGAGAGGGGCAACATTCGACTTGCAGTCATATCGAACCCCAACTGCGACCCTGGCGTGCAGGGCAGCATGGGGGTCGGTGTCGTGGGTGGGGCAGGATCGGACGACGATGGGTGGACCACAGTGGGAATCGTGATCATAGCGGTGGTGTGCTGCGTGGTGGGCACTTCGCTAGTTTGGGTGGTCATCATCTACCACACCCGAAGACGGAACGAGGACTGCAGCGTCACCAACACAGGTGAGGTCACGATGCCTTTTTATGACGTCGTTCTGTTTTCTATGCAAATGATTGAGTATGATATCATTTAATGCCTTTCTCCTCCAGATGAGACCAACCTGCCTGCCGACATTCCCAGTTACCTGTCCTCCCAGGGCACGCTGGCTGACCGACAGGACGGCTACATCCCGTCAGAGAGCGGCAGCAGCCATCAGTACATGCCGTCGTCCCTCAGTGGCTTCTACCTGCAGCAGAAAGACATGAACGGTAAACACCTGCCCTTTCTCCTTTGTCCTGAGACTTAATCCTGCTGCAGCTTCACATATTATTCATACATGAAACTTCATTCAACCATACAGGTCTTTGTCAGCTGGATACTGGAAGTGAAGCAGACTTGGAGGCAGCGATCGATCCTCTGCTCTGCCACTATCAAGGTCCAATAGGCTCGTTGCTTCGCAGAGACAACATGTACGCCACTGACCCGTCAGAGGGCTTCACAGGTCTGTACAGCTCGTCTAGCCAAGTTAAACATGTTCCCTCGATAATTGTTCTACTGTAATGATGAAATTTGACTCATTTTGTTCAGCAACTAAATAGTTTCTTTTTTTTTTGCTGTCAGGCTGTTCCATCGACCAAAGGCCTGCATGCATTGACGCTTACAGCAGTAGCCTGCCTAGTTCTAAAAGGAGGGACTACTTCCTGTCTGAGCATTTTGACCTCTGCTCCTCCACCGTCCTGATGCAGCTCCCCAGTGCTGGTCTCCATCATGGCCCCTCCCACCAGCCAAGTGACCGGCGACCATCCGTGGAGGAGGGAGATGTGAACGACTACGGCCGACCTCACGAATGCCTCTCACCCTGCAACACCTTCATGGGTAGGTCTTGAGTTAATCTGTTTTCAAAACTTCCTTAGATTTTTATCCTTGCTTTGGTTCTGACTTCTTCTTGCACCTCTCTTGACCAGGAACATTTGGGAAAGCTCCCTGGAGGCCTCAGCAGGACCTGTACATGGGCTTCGGCCCGCCATCAGCGACACATAATGCAATGACTCCACATGAGAACCCTTACGCCGCACCTGATGTCGATTCAGACCAGGAGGAGAACAGTCTCGCCAAGGACTCGTCGTCAGAGCAGGGTAGCAGTGTTTACGAACAGCCGTTTGACAGCAGCAGGACTGATCCCTTGCCACAGCGCAGAACGAGCACTTAGCAGAGTGATGCTCCTGCTGGATCTTGTTTTTCATGAAGAGGACGACCAAAAAACTCAATGAAATTTCTACCTCACTAAACGGACACTTTTGCAATAATGACTCCTCAAATGTGCAAAGAGTGAATGTAATGGACAATTTCATGTTCCTACAGAAAAAGAACCAGGAGCATATTAACAGCTGTTCTTCAAGGACACAGATTGATAACATAGATGAATATTGTATATAAACAGATTCCATTATTTTTGCTTACCTTTTGTGTATGAGTATTTTGCGCCCTGCCTATTCAGTTATTCCAGCTTTGAATGAAGCATTGTTTTGCACATATGTAAACAATAAAAAACACCTTAATGTGTGCTGCTACATTCACCCAAGTGCCCCAAGAGTCTTCAGTGATGTTCCTGTCATGATCGTGCAGGAGATGTGTTAGTAACTGATGGTCTGGGTTGAAGTCAGGTCAGAGCCACAGACAGTACAGGACTATTAATGGTCGAGTTCTTTCTATCAAGTAAGGCGAATAATTTAGCAAATATACACACGACACTGGGTCCTCGTTGCTCAGCTCATCTCACACATGCTCACCTACAGTGTGACCACTGCTCACATTAGACTGTATCATTCTTTTTTATCACAACAATCTGCTAATGATCAACAAAAAGTCTTATCATCATTGCAAGGCACAAAAACAAATTTCTCTCCTGTGTGATCTCAGTGGTGGAACAAGAGGAACTCTGTCCACAAATATCGCTTGGAACTAATTCTAGCTCCCCCCCCCCAAAAAAAATAACAAGGTAAAAACACGTTTTTGCTACAACAGTTATGTGAATTCCTGCAGCTGAAAAGTAGTTTTGTCAGATGGAACCTGGAACTGACGTCAGTTCTGAGTTAGTGACATGGATTGTTCCTCAAATAATCTACCAAATGAATAAATGTAAATATTAAAGAGTAATACAGTAATATTTTCTACTAACGTTACTAGTATCATGAATATAACTAATCACTTTTGGTCTTCAGTTACAGTTATTTGTTATTACAACTATTTATAAGTCACAGCAGCCGTTCACTATATCACATGTCAAAAATCATATCGGTCACGTTCTTCCTGACCAAACAGATGATGAAGCATCCATCCATTATCTATACTGTTTATCTATACTTGTGGTGAGGCAACAATAATATTAATACATACATGAACATTAAACCTGGTGCCACTGTTCACTAAAAGTCTTTGCACAATGAAAGGTGTGAGGATTGTGTTGCTCTTATCTCATCCAATTACACATCCACTATCGACATTACAGTTGCAATCTATCATTAATAATAATGACTTTATTAAAAGAGATGCCAGGAATCACATAATACTTGGAATAATTACATGTAATTTCTGTTAAAACACAATTACTGCTGGCAGCATGTGGCACGTACACTGCACCATAGCAAAAGACTCAAGACTCTGTTTGCTGGATGACTCACCCGCCTCCCTCCCTGCCTGATCCCCCATCTCTTCTCGCCCGGCGGTTTGTTGTTTCAGGCCTCTCCTCTTCAACATGAGGGAAAAAGGTGTGCTTGTGCACTAGCTGTTGAAACTTGCACTCGAACGGCGTCGCGCGGCTCGCTGTCTGCCACAGTGGAGCCGTGTTTACGAAATGGCAGATTCACGATGGTGGTGCCAGCAGTTCGGAGGAGGGGATTCAGTCGCATCCCCTATTCGAGGCCGTTGCTTCGGTGTTGCATTTAATCTGGCAATGTGAAATGAACTGGAGTGAGAAACAGATTTAGTTTTGCTATAAGCATGTGCACCCTGCAGGTCTGTGTTTGGATTTGACTCTGCTCAGTTTGTGTATGGAAATGCTGATGATGAGATTTGCTTTCCAAGGACATGTTATTTCTCTCCCATCCTTCTGGCTGACTAATGTTTAAGTACACCTGGCCATTGGCTTGGCTGTGCTGGTTTGTGTGTCTTTACCCCACTGTAAAGGAATGAGTGGGGTTTGTTGGAAGTCTTGCCAGTTCTTTGAAGAGGCTGCGATTAAGACAAGATGGTGGAGCCACACACGTCCAAACACCTGGTTAACAGCTGCTTCTGCTGCCGCTGAGGCAACGTTCAAGGACCAGTCCACTTCTGCGTAATGACCTTATCTCAGTGTGGAGCCATGTCAGGTTAGAGCAGAATCCATGTCTGACAGACCTGTCCGTCCAGGATGGATAAATGGGGCCTGAGAATGAAAAATGATAAACTAACTGAGTTCTGATTCCACTTCTAGTCGAACACAATGTGGCGACACTTATGGGACTGACACGTTGTGTTGCTTAGAAGTCCACTTCAAACCTTTGTGTGGGTAGAATGATGTATGATGAGCTACTGATGCATGTGAGATGTAGACAAACAGATGTCAGACAAGAACAGGGATCTACCAGGAGCTGGTGGATACGGTTAATGAAAAACCTTGACGACATGAGTGAAATGGAGGATAGGGTAGATTTGGCAAATGATATTTATAAGACATTTAAGTCTTCAATAAAAACTTTAAAAATTACAAAGCTTTTGGTGGAAAGTTCTTGGTATGAGTCCTTGTTCTAAAGGTTTCCGACAATTGTTGCAGTCTCATGTATGTAGCTGATCACTGAATTTGAGGGGCCCTAGATCCTCTCAGATCGAGGGCCCAGACATATGCCTGCTTTGCCTACCCTGTCTCAACGCCCCTGTAATGAAGTAAGTCAGACATTTTGAGGGAAAGCAGATGACTGCTACAGTCTATTACAAAATTTCTCCTGGGTTGTGCTGAAAAACTCAAAATTAAAGATCTTTAACAGCGTAAGACGATCCAGGGGATTTTTTTTTTTTCCTTCAACTACTTTGGTTCAAGGTCATTTAATGGCCACTGTTGGAGGAAAGGTTCTCCCCCCTCTAAGGTTTGGCAGCTGGTTTGGTGGATTTAAACCCTTTTTTTAACAATATGTGATCCCTCCTTGTAGTCAAGGTTTTACACTTCACTAAACTAGGCATGTTACAATTAGGCGGGGGGGTGTAATTGTGGTTTATTTACTCCTCTAGGAGTGTCTCTGAATTTGCTATGACCAACAAACAATTTGTGGCCCAACAAGCGACTGAGGCATAGAGGGGTTTCCACTTTTAAATGATGCTGTGGATATAGGAGTCTCCCGCCGAGTCTGCAGCCAGCGACAACCTTCACATTTCCAGCCGGGGGAAAAAGAAAACACCAGCCAGATTGGAGAATAATTTCCCCTCTTTGATTCTGTGTCCAGCAAAATGAGACAGGAAGTTGACTATTCCTCCAGACCACCAGTGACTGGCAGACGAGGGATGGGAGTCTGCTACCCCCTGGTCTCAGATCAGCGATTTTCTGACCCCACTTTGTTCACGTTAGCAGTCAGACACTGATCCCGGGTCTGCTCCTCGGGCCATGTATGCTCTCCACACCCCAGAGACTGAGCCAAGAAAATGAATTTCGCATGCCACGGCCTTATCTCATTGCCAGACACTCTGAATTTTGTAGCTAATTTGCCTTCATTATTGCCAGATGTGGTGACATGCAGACAGATGTTTGTTATATTGAATAGCTACAGGCGGCTTTGCAGAAATGATTATTCCTCTGTTATGAAGCTCAGGAAATCTGCTGGGGGATTGCTGTCTGACTTTTACAACCATTGAACTTGTTTCAGCATTAGATACGCTTTGTCAGTGCTAAAATACAGATTTTAAAAAATGAGCAGAGCCCAGCCCTCAGTATGTGAGGTCACACTCCATTAAACCTCCAACTCCCCAACTGCTGACGGACAAATCCAGCGAGACTTGTGTTGTGTTGCCTTCATGCACAGTTTTTCCCTCTTCCTGACTAAACGTTTGGATTTTCCTCTTATGTGACAAAACCTTTCGATCATTTGCAGATTATCATCACTGGTGAGAATCTTTTGTCCATCAGATTGCAGGATCACAGAGGCGACACTTGCTTGGTGCAAACTATGAGGCCAAGTTCGGTCCAGCAACACAAAGCTGCTGAAATCCCACGGTCATATAATATGTTCTCGCGAGTCGCCATCAGTGTGAATCCCAGCACGGACGCCATAAAACCCCATCAGACCATCTCTTTTCAATCTCCAACGCAGCCACAGTTCTTTGTATGATTAAAAGCGTATACAAGGGCTTTGCATCTTGCAGATGTTGCCATAAATCACCGGTTGGCCCTGCCTCTGCAATTGGCAGCCTGACAAATGTTCCACAATAACTGCAGCCCCCACCCCACCCTTCCAGTAAAATGGAAAAAAAGAGAGAACGGGTAAAAGAAATGGAGAAAAAAAAGGGCCTGGAATTTCTACCCGGCTGCTTGTAACTCTTTCAGGACTATTGTAAAGTCTAAGCCATGTCAGCACAGGTGGAAACCTGAGGGGTCGTAAAACCAGAAAGAAAAAAAAGACCGCCTACTCTGGGCTTTCTCTTTTCCCAACAATGTCTTAAACTCCCCGCTGTCCCAGCCAGCCCTCCACTGTGACTAATTCCACACAAATCTTATGAGCTAAATCAGTCAGGCTGCCTGTGAGTCTGTGGACGGTAGTAACCGACACCCCCACGCCTGTAAAAGACGCAACCATAATGGCTGAGATGGAGGACGGGCTGTGAATCACAGTCTCGGAGGCATAGGGAGAAACATGCTGTCTGTAGGCAAGTTTCAAAGCTCAAACCTTCACCCCCCCATCCTGCTGCTTTAAAGTTCAGAAGCAGCAAATGTACGAGTGTAAAAGTTTTATACTGATACTAAGGAGGAAAATCCAGTTAAGGAGAGCTGAAGTTTTTTCTCTGTAAGTTATTTTAACTGAGATGAACTATGTAATAAATTCCTGTGCACAAGTGCTTTTCGATCCACATTTTTTTTTATCAAAGCTAAAACCATAGTCAAGGTTGCCATGTCTGTGTAACAATAGCAGCACAATGGTCAATCAAATGAATATTTCTGTGTGATGATTGTTAATGGGCTGATCTGCAGTCAGTTTGGTAGGATTTGGGTATAAATCAATCATATGTATGGATCTTTACTTACATTTCCATATAGATTCCATATAGATTTCCATCCAGACCTCTAGATGAGTGTTTAAACCGTTTTAAAAATCTAACTCCATACTAACAATCCTGAAAATGCATATCACACAACTATTTAAAAACACTGGCCCACAGGTGCCCACAGAATCTGCAGATTA